AAGATGTTATTCACAAAAAAAACATAATTTATATTTTACAAAAAAAAGAACAACAAAACATCGAGCGCGTATATTTATGCTCCTACCATTTATCAGGAAAACCAACACTATTATTAAGCTGCAAAAGTTAGGTTGATTTTATTTAATCCACTAAATGAAATAAACCACCTCAGTGGCTGTGGAGGATTCTCCACCAGCGGTGCACCCCTGTTTTTATTTTTATTTTATTTAGTGGATTAAATAAAATAAAAACCATCCACCACTGCGCACGTTGGGCAGTGGTGGATTCTCCCCTGGACACGCACCACCACCGGTGGAGAATCCACCACCGTCCACTGTGCGCAGTGGTGGATAGGTTTTATATTTATTTGATTTAATCCACTAAATAAAATAGCAGGGTGTCACACCACTGGCAGTGATGCGTGGTTGTGGATTTTCCACCGGTGATGGTGCACCACTCTGTTATTTTATTTAGTGGATTAAATAAAATAAAAATAAAAATAGCGGGGACAGGCAGTAGTGGAATCCACCACTGGTGGTTGAACCGGAAGAGTCATCTTTAGTGAAATACTTCTACACTGTTGATGAATTTCTACCTGTTTGGCAAGACTTGACCTGCTCCTCACCTTCCATTTGCTTGGAAGAATCTGTTTTGTAGCCAGCGGCCCAGCGCTGATCACGTGACACATTCACTGACTTCGACTTGTCGACATAAAAATTTAAAACTTGCGATATATCCTAGAGTCGACTAGTTGACTAGTCTGTTCAACCCCTTGATTTTCTTCAGTCACATAGATTGAAAATTAAGTGCCTACTTCCAAATCCATCTGGTCTTCTCCAACAGATACTTTAGCGTGTAATTAGTATCTGTTAGTTTGCAGACAAGATATTTGAGTGTTCTTCCTGTACTGCTAGTTCTCAATGTATTGAGGAGTTAATTTTAGGAATAGTTTTTGTTGAAACATTCTGATTTGATTTTTAGCTTTAGATTAAAAATAAAGATTGCTTGTACAAGATTGTACACCTTCAGTGCATGCATTTCAGTTTAAATCAGCATGCCTTACAGCAACTGCTCCAGTACATTGTCTGTTTCCTCATAAAAGTTGAAGTTGACTCTAAAAAAAATGAATTTTTTAGACAGAAACCTTATTGCTATGTTTTATTGTGCTAGAAATTCGAGAGAGAGAAAAAAAAATCTGTGTGATGGCTTTGTTAAAGTTTTTTTTTTTTTCAAATTTAAAGCCTTCACCTTTCAGGTAAGCCACATAAAAGATAAAGGAAGAGACATCCAAAGCAAGGGATGAATAATGAAATGAAAACAGGTTAAAAAGCAATATCTACTTTAGTCTTTTAAACACAGCTGATCAATGCAGCGGGCTGCTGGAGGCAACAATGTCCTAAAACTACAGAACGTGACTCATTGGTGCCTCTTGACTGAATATGAAGCAACTTCCACTTGCATTAAAAGAAATAAATTGGCAACATTCAGAGATGTCAAGGTATTATTATGACCCATACGCTATACAGTAGTCCCTCGCTACTTTGCGGTTTGTTTTTTGCAGACTCGCTCTATCTCGGTTTTTCAAAGTAAGATTGGACATGGCACACAACAGGCTGATTGATGGATGAGCAGTAGGATTGGCATGGATTTTTTTTTATTTAAAATACATACTCTATATATATACTAAAATAAACTACTTACTACTTGTACTACTATTCCTACTTTGTGGTTTTTCAAGTATCACGGGGCTTCAGAGTGCATACCCCCACTGACAAACCGGGGACTATTGTATTAGCATGTAATCTAACAGAAAAAAAAAAGTTAATGTAAGATAGCAGTTATTAACTAATTTATCACAAGTTACTGTATTTCAGCTATTTATTAAATTATTGATAACCTCAACAAAAGCCGTCTCTGCTTGAACTACTTTTTTTATTAATTTGACGAGTTCTGACCTGCGCATTTGTTTTTCATGTGAACTAGCGCATCATGCATGGCAATATTCTAAATACTTTTAAGATGTGGGGAACGCCGCCCTAAGCTTGTTTTACCAACACTCCAGTATAGATCCAATTTGACTGTAGTGCATTTCACAGAATGGATACAAGAGCTGCTTTCTCAAGAGACCACGTGGGTGAAATACTCTGCATGCTTCGCTTGCATTCCAAATTTGATCTCCTACACTGGCTGGAGTGCTGGTTTGCGATGCATAAAATATATGTCTTAATGGAAATCTTTACACTGTAAACAAACAAAATACTTCTGTACCATGTACTGTTTGTTGCACCCACACCGGGAGAACTTTGAGCCTCTAATCACTGCAAGCTTTGTTGTTTTCCTCATATTTGCAGACAAACAAATGTAACTAGCGATAAAGCAGATGAGCTAAAACATATGACAAATGGACTTTAAAAATGTCACTTTTTATTACAATGATTTGATTTATCTTAGGTTGCAGAGCTTAATCTCATAAATCTTAGTGTATTACTTGGTAATAAAGCAGTACTTTGACAAATCATAACAAACATATGTTTTGTATTGATAACAAACCCAAACGTAGGAAGCAAACAACAAGGGTTTGTGTGTTGTTTTCATTTATATCTATCAAGACAAATGTGAATAATTTTGCCTCTTTGACCTGTGTTTGCAGTCATCTTTTTTTTTCTTCTTCTGCAAGCTCATTGGCATGCATGATAAGCACTGACGGAGAGCAACATATCACCATTATTCATTGACAGAGTACACCTCGAAGCCAAACTGACAGATCAAAAGATGATGATGATAGGCTGGGGGTACTGGTGTTAGGGGTGATAAATGATCCCATTGTTTGGAGATGGCTACGTGCTGGAAGTTTGAGAGCAGAACCTTTTTCTCTCTTTTTCATCACAAGCTTTGTACTTTAGGTGCATGCTACTTGCAGATGGGTTCCCTGCATACTGTATATTGAGGTCCTGCCCACACCAACAAAACCATTTGAAAAGTTTTTTTTTAGCTAAACCATTTTCACCACAGTATTTTTATGGCTCATTTGCATGCAAATGGTTTTTGGGAAGTGAAAACTTTACTTTTTATAAACACTTCCAAAAAGAGGGATAAAAAATAAAATAAAACGTTTATCGGTGTGTACTTTTCAGAAGGTGTTACCACTAGATCCTACTTTGTACTTTGCTTTATACTTGCACTACAAATATTGAGTGAATCAATTTAAAAATAAAACATTATTTATTTATTTAGGGTGGCACAGTGACAGAGTGACTAGTGCCTGTGTCGCCTCACAGTAAGATGGTGGCAGGTTCTCATTCTGGCCTTTTTGTGAGGAGATTGCAAGTTTGCTTCGTGCTTGCATTGGTTTTGTCTGGGTACTCGTTTCCTCCCACAGACCAAAAACATGCCTTTGAGTTTAATTTTTTGTAGATGTGAGCGAGTGAGAGAGTGGACGGTTGTTGGTCTTCTTCCATCTCTGTGTAGCCCAATGATGGACATGTGACTTGTCCAGGGTGTGCACAACTTCTCACACTATGACCGCTGGAGACAGGCACCAGCTCTCCCAGGACCCAGAAAAGAAAACACATCCATCCATCCATTATCTTTTATCTGCTTCTGCCTTTTCAGGTCACGGGGCTCACTGGTGCCCACTGGTGCCCACTGGTGCCCCATATCCAGCAGTCACTGTGCAGGAGGCAGGGGACATCTGGACAGGTCTCCAGTCCATCACAGGGACACATAGACAAATGAGACGACCATTCACTCTCTCACTCACACGTAGGAACAATTTAGAGTCACCAATTAGCCTAACTTTCATGTTTTTGGAATGTGGGAGAAAACCAGAGAACCCGGAGAAAGTCCATGCATGCACGGAGAGAACATGCAAACTTCACCCAGAAAGGTCCCAGCTGGGATTCGATCCAGCAACCCTTTTGCTGAGAGATGACAGCTCTATCAAATCTGCTACTGTAAAAAAATAAATAAATAAATAAATAAAGCAAGTAAACAGAATGAATGGATCAATATATTTATTTGTTTATTACTGAACATCAAGATTTATACTGAATAATTCTAAAATAAACCATGTTACCATGTTCATATACGGAAGGAAAAACAGTATTTAAATTTTCTTCCTTTTTTTTTAAGAAAAAAAAATTGTCTTCAAGATAGTTACTAGACATGCTCAAGATCCTCTGTTTTTGACACTTTCACAAAAGTTCTGAAACATTGGCACAGATTTTTTAATTTTTTTATTTGTTGTATTTTGGCGGTTTTGACATTTTATTCTTCCCGCAGGCCTATTTGTTTTATTTAGGGGATGCCGTACAATCTCATCTTAATATAGATCTTATAAAGGGAAAAGAAAGTATAAACTGAAATGTCATTATTGTCTCTTTTGAAACAGAAAGACAAAACATTTATGCATCTGTGCACATTCACTTTAACATTTTGGTCATAGTAAATACTATGTCGGGGATGTTATAAGTAAACCAACACAGTTATATGTAAATAAAGCCTGCCATAAATGTGCACACTACATACTGCCTTCTTTTTCATCTGTTTAAATATCCTATTGTTAAAGAAAGGGAAGCAAGGCTCCTGTCGCTGCCCCTCCTCTTCCCCTGCAGCTAGTTGTTTTGGAGTCATTCATCAAGAAGAGTGAGACTGAACAATCAGTGGAAGCGTTGGCAGGATCCCTGTAGAGATAAGGCAATATTGGATTGATGGAATCATTTAAAGGGCAGAAAAAAATAAAAGAACACTGGGCTCTTTATGTTTGATTTTTTTTTTTTTTTTTTTTACAGTACCTAAATGTAACTGCCCAGTGGCTCTCAGTGTATTTTATGTCCTAATCTATTATCCTTCCTTTAAAAAAAAAAAAAAAAGATCAAAACAGATTGTTTTAGATAAACTGCACGCCTGTTTATGGATTTTCACATTGTCTTGAGTGTCTCAATCTTTGCAAAGTGATTTTTATAGCCTTGTGTCATGACTGTCATCTCTTTTCTTCCAGCTATTGAAGCAAACAGTGAGTCAGTAGAGGATTTGATGCAGAGGTTTCAGGACAGCTTCCGTGTTCCCAACACGCCAACAAACATGTCTCACTACCAGCACGCCATGCACAGCTCATCTACAGGTCGCCGGAGGGTCTCCAGCCACATCAGAGGTGAGACACCATTCAGCTGTTTAGTTGTCACATGGTTACATTTACTGTAAGCAACAGGTTTGTCTTAATATTTGCATGTCGGCATAATGCCAAACAATGTGGGATTTATTTTTAATTATTTTAGACTGCGTGCAACTTTTGTTCTTTTGGCACATACTGGATAATATGTTGGCTTATAAGTATTTTTTAATTATGTGTTATTTAATGTAGATGGTGTGAGTAAAGGGGGCAGAAGGGTGATCCTTTCTTCTCATCTTACTACTCATCATATTACTCATTACTATGATTATGATGGCTATGATTATTTTATTATTTTAATATTCAAATTTAAGTCACTGAAATAGAAATTGATAATTACAATGAACTCTATACCATAACAAATGTTTAGCGGATTGTGGAGATTGAATTTGTCCTTAACTTGTATTACAAAAACAATTAATCAAAAATAGAATATGAGCAACAATAATGAAATCCACAACAAAATAATGAGGAATACAAATTTGGTCTTATTAGTTTGATGAAGTATTTAGGCAATAAATTAAGAGTTGATGGTGTAACAATCTTGGATAAGCAATAAGGATTAAACACTGTAATCTGTGAAAATTATTGTCATGTACAATGCTTTGTTCACATAACTGACACTTATTTAGTTGTCAAATGTTAATGTTGTCATTGTCAAACACGTTTTGTGAATGATTGTGAGATGTGTGCTTACATTGTATTGAAGAAAACAATTCATTGAATCTATTTTACCATAAAGGGATTGGTTTTGCTGGTTATTGATTTAATATTAAATTAATGTATTTGTATCAAAGTGAAATATGTTATTTGTAACACACTGGGTTCAAGAATCTGTGTTTCATATTGCTGCCCGGTTTCTTAATTTCACTTAAGAACCTCTGAACATCTTGACAACTACTGCAAAAACAGGACAAATCACTTCTTAATGTAAGAATCTGTTTTTAGTTTTAGTTTCTTCATAGTATTACAATATACAAAGCTCAACAACACAGCACAACTCTACTTGTACTAACAAAATAGCCGTGTTTGCTAGTTTAACCAGTGACATAAACTAGAGGGAGCATTAAAGACCCCACTCCACCCATGACATTTTAACTGTGTTGTGGCACATTTCATTTTCAGTTTCCTCTTCCGGTTCATGCAATATTTTCAAACAAAATCATAATTTTCACACATATTAAAATCAGGTAGCAAAAAAAAAATGTCACATGCATCCATATACAGTAGTCCCTCGCTATTCCATGGTTCGTTTATCACAGGCTCGCTCTATTGCGTTTTTTCAAAATAAGATTGGACATGACACACAATTGGCTGATTGATGGATGAGATGCATGATTGACATGGATTTTTTTATTTAAAATAAATTATTTAGTACCTGCTGCACCTTTATGTAGCACAGAGCTGCAGAAGAAGCTTCCTCCTGCACATACATATATTTATATATGTATATATATATATGTATATATATATATATATATATATATATATATATATACACACACTAAAATAAACTACTACTTGTACTAATATATACTTTGTGGTTTTTCACTTATCGCGGGGCTTCATGGTTCCCTGCAATAAACGAGGGACTACTGTACAATAGTAACATTCAAAAGATAATTAAATTTGAATCACAGGCAGAATAGCATGCTCGCATAATTTTTGTGTTGCAGTGGCAATGTGTAAACAAAATGCGAGTTAGCGCCCGCTACATAATTCATAATACAAATTCAGTAGGGCTTTGGAGATTGCTCTGTATAATAGCTTACATAAAGCAGAGAATTTGTTAATTGAGAAACGTATGGTGAAACTAGCACTGAATACAGCTCATTACCTCATGAAATAGTTTATTCTAATGTATTGGGAAAATAAAACATCCCTGCCATCAGTCATTTCAATCATAAAGCAAATAATAATAACATCAGACAGTAACTTTTTTTTTTTTATAACCTATCAACTTCTTGCCAATTAATAACACTTGATGCAGAAAAGAAAAAAAAAAAACATTTTACGTATGATGTAATTAATTGGAACCTTTTGCTTTTTTCCCTTTACACAGTATTTAACAGTGTTTACCAACTTGTGATGTAAACATCTGCTTGTGCTTGTCTTATGTGATGTTGATTTAAATGAACATTACCAAAGTGATGTAATTCATGAAGTAATTCTAAATGAGCAGAGTCTTTATCTCCATGCAACATTAAAACTGTGAAGGGCATGACTGAGGAAAGTCCTCCCTAAAGTCAATAGTACAATGATTTTTTTTGAGGATCTATAATGAAAAGGTGAAATGTTTTCCCTGAGTGTTGACCAATTGCTTGGCTGGATTGGGGTTAAAGGGAAAAGTTGTTGTGGGACGTCAAAGGGTCAATGCTGCACACGTGGAGTAAAAGCATTGCAATTTTTTTTTGTATTGAACACTTTTTTGAATTCTTTAAGAAGTGTTCCAGGCTGAGGCCAAGGAGCAAGCAAGCTGCAGCCTGGCAGACACTTAGCTTTACTAATTACTAAACTTGGTTGAAAGTCCTATTTGTCGAGGAGCTGTAATTGCATCGCTTTTTCCCTTATCTCCCATTTGTATTTGCATATTTCCACTAAAGTTCTCTAGTTAAAGTTGGGCAACTTCTTTAAATTTTCTGCAACGTTGCTACAAATAATAAACTGTAGGGTAACAGGAACATGATGGGGTAATTGTTCTTCACAACTTCATATCATGCTGGTTCTACTATGGCCATTATAGCATAAAACAGCACATAATGACTGTATTTTCAAAGAAGTTATACTTAACAGAGATGAACATATGAAATGTACGTAAGTGATGAACATAGCATTAGTTTCAATTGTTTTATCTGGAGCCAGACGGCAAAAGCAGATGATATTGTTTCTGTGAATATGTGTGTGGTCATATGCCTGTCTTTTATCAAAATACACCATGAAGCACTGGGCAATTATTATTATTTATTTTTTATGAAACGTGTGAAAAATGATCATTGGATGCACTGGATGATGAGCTTTTGTCGTGGATCTGATTCAAGATTCAAGACAGAGTAAACTGCCTTAAAGGCACAAACATGGCTGTAACAGTCAGTTTTACAGCTACACCATTAAACACACAAATGCTGTGGTTGCAGTTGAGACTGATTCATTAAACATATTCTGAGCACTAAAAGAAGATTGTATACATTTTTGTCAGTACCCTTTGAAGTCATATATATGTTAAATATAAAAATATCAACGCATCTCATGGATTTCTGGACATATTTTAATGAAACATTCAGGAATCAGTCATTGGGTGAACCTCTAAAATTTATAAACTTTTAAGGCCAAACCTTTTTGAAGATCAATACTACAGAAAATTGGTGGTACAAAACATGCAATGGTTACAGTACAACTCCATCAAGTGTAGTAATATTGGGCTAAAATGTGGGGTTGTGGTAAGTGAGAGTCATACAGAACAAAGTATTCTCTATAGATAATACTCAGTGTGCAAGATATTTGTTAACGAATTTAGCAATCACAGCTGGGGTCAACCATGTTTGTTAATTAATGTAATATCTTGGGAACCAATGGCCAGATTGGAACATAACTTTTAGAGTCAGAGTCAGAGATTCTTTATTGTCATTTGCACCACATGTGGTACATGTGGTGGAGCGAAATTATGTACACAGGGTCCCAGTTACATCCAACAATAAAATGTATAAGAAAAACAGTAATAACATCTAAGATATGAACTAAGAAAAACATAAACTAAATAAACACTAAGCACTAATAGCATATAAACATTACGTCGAACATCAGCACAAACATGAACATGAGTCTGTGTGAGCAGATGAGCACGCATGAACACACCAACATGAAACAGATCAGCAGCAACATGCTGTGTTTTTTTCACAGTGATTATTCTGGTTACAGATTCATGAGTCTAACAGCCTCAGGGTAGAAGCTGTTCCTCAGTCTAGTGGTTCTACACTTATTGCTCCTCAACTTCCTGCCTGAGGGGAGAGGGGCAAAAGTGTGTGTGCTGGGTGAGTGGGGTCCTTCATGATGCAGGTGACCCTCTTCCTGCATCTGGAGGTGTAAATGTCTGTGATGGTGGGGAGGCTGACTCCAACAGACTTCTGTGCAGCCTTCACTACTCTCTGCAAAGCTTTTCTTTCTGCAGCTGTGCAGCCTCCATGCCACACGTTGATGCTGGAGCACAGCATGCTCTCCACTGCACACCTGTAGCAGTATATACATACAGTATCTACACTTGAATGTACATCTGCAGTCGATTACTATTTGGAGTCAGTCCGATTCAAGATGACCACTATGGTTAATTGATATAGGTAAACACAAAAAAATGTTGAAAAGTCAGACATTTTTACAGAATTTAAGCTAAGAATTAATGTGGTCATAGCTGAGAATCATTTACAGTAAATCCTATTGAATGTGACATTTTGCATACCTGCATGAGCTTGTGCATAGCATTATTTCAATTTATGACCAATACATGCATTGCATTATTATGCATTACTATAGGGGATTCTAGGATGTTTTTCAATATCAATACATATGTATTCTTTGTGGACTAGTAGAAAAAAAATCATTTTTAGAAAATACATTGAGCATTGCACTGAGTATTTCTTTACTTCTCAGTGAGAAGAGATTGCATGTCCTGGTTCTTAAAAGCATCTTAAAGCTTGAATGAGTTTATATTTAATTTAAAGAACCCTCTATCATCTTATCCCAGAGATACAAACATGCATGCAGGGCTGAGTCCCATGTGAATCTGACCTGCTCACAAATTAAGGGAGGCACACTTCTTTACAATTTTCCTGGACGGTGCCATCACCAGGACAGTTGTTATGTACCATGGTGAAGGTGTTTGATGCTGCGATCAAAGAGTTAACACCAATATTGACAACACTGTCAGCTGGCTTGCCTGCACAAGAGGGACACTATTGTCCCCAGTGTCTGTGTGGGAGGAAAAACAGTAG